CCTGTAGTGTAGATCTGACCCTCCCGTGTCCCCTGCAGTGTAGACCTGGCCCTCCTGTGTCCCCTGCAGTGTAGACCTTGCCCTCCTGTGTCCTCAGGGCAGACCTGGCCCTCTGTGTCCCCAGGGCAGACCTTGCCCTCCGTGTCCCCAGGGCAGACCTGGCCCTCTTGTGTCCCCAGGGCAGACCTGGCCCTCTGTGTCCCCAGGGCAGACCTGGCCCTCCTATGTCCCCAGGGCAGACCTGGCCCTCCTATGTCCTCAGGGCAGACCTTGCCCTCCGTGTCCCCAGTGTAGACCTTGCCCTCCTGTGTCCTCAGGGCAGACCTGGCCCTCCTGTGTCCCCAGGGCAGACCTGGCCCTCCTGTGTCCCCAGGGCAGACCTGGCCCTCTGTGTCCCCAGGGCAGACCTGGCTCTCTGTGTCCCCAGGGCAGACCTGGCTCTCTGTGTCCCCAGGGCAGACCCATGACCCTGCCCCTCTTCATCAGCTTCTTTCCTGTGCTCTTTGCTCTGCTTTTCTTCTCTTCCTTGAAAAATGTCCTCATTTCTGCCCCAAACACCCTCTGCTTACCCTCGTTATTAAGATAAAACCAGAAACCCCCTTTCTGGTTCAGCAAACTTCAAGTCTGCACTTCACTTTCCAAAATGTGCCCTCTCTTTACGGTTCAGGAGATGATGAAGGTGTCCCTGCCGCATGGGCATCATCTGTGCATTGAGTGTGTTCAGCCGGTTTGTTTTTCATGGCAAAATTCTCTCCAGGAAGGAATCACATACTCAGTTACATTCCAGAACACGCTGTTACTTAGACAAGTGAGAAAAAGTTTGGGACATCAACAACGACCTGCAGTTGTTGGTCTCAACCCATCTCATCCCCCACTGGTATCCTCCACAGCAGACCTGGTGCAGTGACTAGTGCGTGCAACTTAGATCTGACTTAGAGGTCTGCTCAACAGTGACCTTGGCATTCCTGAGCCCTGCGGTTCCCTTTCCTCTTCTCCACACCTGCTGACCCACAGCCTGAGGAGTGAACCTGTGAAATACGATCTCGGAGATGGGTGGGGTCAAAGAGAGGACCTAAGAAATGGAACAAAGCTCTGGGGCCTCTGTGGAAGGCCTGGTGGATGTCTGAGATGACGGACACTGCCTGGTCTTGAGGATGAATGAGACGGTTATGTAAGAAGAGCCATCCATCCTTTGTGTGGCCCATTTTCTTATGAGTTCATCCCTGTCTCCTGGTTGATGACAGGGCTGGAAGGAGGGAGTCAGAAATAAAATATGTTCTGTTGATCCAGGGGTCTGAAGGTCAGACCCCGGACTACTGAGTAAGCCTTGGCATTGCCTAAGGCCACTGGGTTCTTGGAGGACTGGTGTCCCCAGTAGTGGATTATGGCTACTTCTGCAGGGAGCTGGAGGACTCCCAAGAGCTTGGCTTTAAGGGGTCCTTTAACTATGGGAGTGCCCTTGGTAGTGAGGAAGCCTCTTTCCTTTAAGAGGACTAAGTGGAAATGGGCTATTAAAAAGGCAAATTTAGAGTCAGTGTAGATGTTAGCCCGTTGACCTTTGGCTAGCTGGAGTGCTCAGCCTTTTGTAAAGAGGCTCCCGTTGGCAGGCGGGCCATTTTAACTGTTTTAGTGGGAGTGATCTCTGCATATGCTGCTGCCTGGAGGTTTCCTGATCTGTCTGTAAGAGAAATTACATCAACAAGCAGGGCGAGTTGGGGGTTTGTAAGTGGTTGGTCTAGGAGACCAGGCCAAGGTGAGCATAAAGCCTCCACAGCCTCTGGACAGGAATAAGAGGAAGGAGGTACGGGGGAGGGAGCAGGAAGGAGAGTTTCAGGGTTTAGGTAGGACTGGGGGCCGAGGTAATTTGAGAGTTTTCTAGAAACAGTAAGTGAAAGACTTGGACTTGTGAAGGCCCAAGGAGGGAGAGAGAGGGATGACTCAGAAGGTCTGCGAGGCGGTGGGTGGAATATACCATGATTGGCCTGGACAGGGCGATCTTGAGAGCCTCCTGGGTGAGTTTAGCTGCTGCTGCCAGGGCTCTCAGGCATGGTTGCCATCCACAGACGGTGAGGTTCAGCTGTTTGGATAAAAAGGCGGCAGCCCGATTCAAAGGCCCAGCCTGTTGGGTTAGAACTCTGGTGGCCACTCCTAACCTCTCGTCTGTATAAAGGCGGTAAGGTCTCATGGGGTCTGGAAGAGCAAGGGCAGGGGCTGTTAGAAGGGCATCTCACAGTAGGGAGAAGTGGCAGCGATGGACAAGGACTGGGTGGGTGAGAGGTACCATGGGGGTCTCTCTGGCTGCCTGGTACAGAGGCTTGGCTATAATGGCAAAGTTAGGGATCCAATGACGGAAGAACCCTAGCAGGCCCAAAAATGAGAGGATTTGAGCCCCTGTGGTTGAGGGCTGTAAATCCCGCAGGGCATGTACCCTGTCAGAGGTGAGGGTCTTAGACCTAGGGGTGAGTTGAACACCCAAATATACTACTGTAGGAGAGCACAGCTGAGCCTTAGCTGGTGAGACTTGATCTCCCAGGGATCTGAGGAAGTTCAGGAGTGAAGAGGTGGCCTGTTGGGACAGAAGCAATGTGGGACTGCAGAGAAGGAGGTCACCAACCTATTGATGAAGTGTGCTAGGACCTGGGTCAAAGGTCAATAGATCCCAAGCCAGGGCTTGGCCAAAGAACTGGGGGCTGTTCCAAAATCCCTGAGGGAGAACAGTCCATGTAAGCTGTCTGGAGGACTTGGAGTCAGGGTCCCCCTAGGTGAAGGCAAAGAGGAAGTATGAGTCAGGGTGTAAAAGGGCCAGTAAAGAAGGCTTCTTTCAGGTCCAGGGCAGTAAAGTGGGAGGTGGCAGGAGGGACATTAGACAGGAGATTGTACCCCCGGGGTGTTAACCACTGGATGAATTGGAAGAACCGCCTCATTTATGAGGTGGAAGTCTTGAACCGAACAGTAAGCACCAGAATGCTTATGCACGGGAAGGATGGGAGTGTTGCAGGGTGAGTCGATAGGAATTAAAAGTCCCCGAGATAGAAGGCGGGCGATAATAGGCTTAAGACCTCAGCAGTGAGTTTCAGGAATAGGAAACTGGGCTCTGGAAGGGAAAGAAGAGGGTTCTTGAGGTCCACTGGGACTGGCTGGTGGTAAGTAGCAACCATGGCGGTGGAAATATCCCATTCTTGGGCATCTACTGGATCAGGGAGAATAGGGACAGGACAGTCTGGGGTAGGAGCTTGTGAGGCTATTAAGACAAGAAGGCCAAAGTGAGTGTGACCCCGAAGCAGCTAAGAATATCTCTACCAAGTAGGGGTGCAGGGCAAGCAGGTGTGACCAGGAAAGAGTGAGGAAAGAATCGCCTGCAAGAATGCAGGGCAGGGACATGGTCTTAAATGGGAAGGAGTGGGTCCCGTCCACCCCCATGACAAAAATTGGTGAGGGACTTGAGTGAGATGTTAAAACAGAGTAGGTAGCTCCCGTGTCCAAAAGAAGTGTAATGTATTTAACTCGCTACCTACAGCATTACCCTAGGCTCAGAGAGGGCGATGGGAGTCACCAAGTCTGGGCAGCATCAATCCTCTGCCCAGGTTTCATGGATACAGTGCTCCCTGATGGCTTTCCAGCCCCCTAGAGAGGAGACAGAAAAGGAAGACAGGGAAACCATGTGTCTGGTTTTGGGGAGCAGTTTAAATACCTGGTGGGAGTGGTCTTGAGCATCTCAGGTTGAGGGAGGTCATCATTTGGTGGGCTTTCTGAGTTGCAGCAGGGGTTGGAGAGAGATGGGGGAAGGGGCTTGGAGTGGCACTTCCACCTGAACAATGTGGGCAGGTGTGAACGAACTCCATGGACATCCTTACACGTAGTCTGGTGTGAATGAGCTCCATGGACATCCTTACATGTGGACAAGTGTGAACGAGCTCCATGGACATCCTTACACGTGGACAGGTGTGAACGGGTGCCATGGACATCCTTACACATGGGCAGGTGTGAACAAGCTCCATGGACATCCTTACACGTGGGCAGGTGTGAACGAGCTCCATGGACATCTTAACACATGGGCAGGTGTGAACGGGTGCTGTGGACATTCTTAAACATGGGCAGGTGTGAATGAGCTCCATGGACATCTTTACACATGGGCAGGTGTGAACGGGTGCCATGGACATCCTTACACGTGGGCAGGTGTGAACAAGCTCCATGGACATCCTTACACGTGGGCAGGTGTGAACGAGCTCCATGGACATCCTTACACATGGGCAGGTGTGAACAGAGCTTTAATATTTCTTAGGATCTATTCTCCCCAGGACTGGGCCTTCCTCTTGTTACTTCTCTCATGATAGTGTCACTAGCCAGCTTGTGCCCCACCCAGTGTCTCTAGACCTCGGAGTCCTCTTTATGATCCGTGCAGGTCCCCACTGGCCACATCTGATCTGGCATGAAGGCTTAGACATTAGACTGGCAAGCAACTCCAAACTCGTTCTCACATTGACTGCCTCCCATCCGAGACCCCACCGCCCACTAGAACATTCCTCCTGTGCTTCCCCTGGAACACATGGCTCACTGTGCCTCCCTATGTGTGCCGAGTTGTTTTCTTTTCTTTTCTTTTCTTTTCTTTTCTTTTCTTTTCTTTTCTTTTCTTTTCTTTTCCAGCTTGACACAATCAGGGTCAGTCTGGGATGAGGGAACCTCAATTAAGAAAATGTCTCCATCAGACTGTAGGCAAGTGGGGCATTTTCTTGACCAGTGACTGATGTGGAGGGCCCATCCTGCTGGGTGGTCCTGAGTGTGTTTTAAAAAGCAAGCTGGTGGCTGGAGAGGTGGCTCAGTGATTAAGAGCAATGCCTGCTCTGCCAGAGTCAAGTGTAGGTGTGTGAGATGTCTGGTGCAGCCGGCACCATCCCTGACCAGGGGCAGGTGGAGCCCTCCCTGACTAGACAAGCGCTTTCCCCATCCTCCCTCCCTGGATCTCATTGTGGAGAGGTGTCAGGACCTGGGGAAGAGGCCCGACAACTGTTCTTGTGAACTTTAACACGGTGTCACAAAGTCTTGTGGAAGTTCTTGCCAGGACTTTTCATACTTCCAGCAGCGCTGGGCGGTCACCATTGCAGAACGACCCACGAAGAGAAGGGGCTTGTTTTGACTCACAGTTTGAAGGTTTCAGTTAGATCTCCCTTGGTGGGTACAGCATAACATGGTAGGATCCTGTGATAGTAATACTGGTCACCTTTTGATTGACAGCAACACGAGAGAGAGAGAGAGAAGGGGCTTGCCTCTGACCTAGGCCCCGCCCCTCAAGGGTTCAACCCCTCTCAACAGCACCATAGGCTGGATATGGGGCTTGTGATAGCTGGGCCACTGGGGAAGCACCTGGTGGCTATTGCTAGTACCCACTTTTCCTAGATGTGCTATGGAGGTGTTGCCCATTTTCTGAGCTTACCCTCTCGCTTTTTGAGGCATCTATGAGGTGCTAAAAGTTTTGAATGAGATTCTCAATTCAAATCAGCCACACCGTGGATCTGAGCAGGCTCCACTCCGTGCAGCACACCCTGCTCTAAGTAACGTGGTCCCCGGAAGACAGAGCAGTCTTCACTTCTAGCTCAGCTCTGGAGGATGCCCAGCACTTGCAGGTGCTCAGGAGGGTTTGGATGGAGTTGTCTTTGGCCCAGACCTCGTCATGACCTGTTCTTGCCCCCGATTTACAAGTTGTAGATCTGCATATTCATTGTTTCGACTGTGCTGCCTATCTCTGTTCCCCAGTGTTGGGGTCACCGGCATGTGCAGCCATTCCTGGTATAACGAGGGTATTGGGGTTCTGAACATAAGTCCTCGTATATGTGGTGTCATCATTTACCCACTGAGTCCTCTCCCCACCTCTGAGGTTTCTTTTATTCCCTTTGTTCCACTCCTCCCTGATCACAGTTGTTCTCCTTGCAGAGACTCCTTGCCCGGGACAGGGGATTGCAGCCTTTCTTCCAGGAACTCTCTGGACACATCTTGCCAGCATCCTCCCTCTAGCAAAAATGCGTCAGCTCAAGGGGAAGCCAAAGAAGGAGACATCCAAGGACAAGAAGGAGCGGAAGCAGGCCATGCAGGAGGCCCGGCAGCAGATCACCACAGTGGTGCTGCCCACCCTGGCTGTGGTGGTGCTCCTGATCGTGGTGTTCGTGTATGTGGCCACGCGCCCTGCCGTCACCGAGTGAACCCCTCCGTTCCAGCTCTCCTGCAGAGATGTCTACAGTGCCGAGCTCCCAGCAGGAGGGCCCTGTCTTCTCTGCTCTTTGACTTGACTAAAATTTCTCTACTTTGTTTGGGGGAGGGAATAGGGAATATTTTATCAGTGAATGTGCCATACACCTGATGGTCCACTTCATGTGCCTTTCAGACTTCAAAGCAGAGTGCGTGTGCGTGCGTGCGTGTGTGTGTGTGTGTGTGTGTGTGTGTGTGTTTCTTTTTCTCCTGAAATCGATGTGTAACTGCGCCTGGGGAGCCAAGGACTCCCTGGGCGAGGCTGTTGGTTGGAATCAGTGCCACCTCCCTCCCGTCCCTGCAACATGCTCTCCTGCTCACGACTTCCTAAGGGGACAGCATTTCTGCTCTGTACTTGATGGGATCTGAAATATGTTGACTCAAAGTGAAATATTTATTTTTTGAATAAAGGAGATAATAGTCTTAAACTGGGTGTTTGTCTTGTTCTGTGTCCGTTTCTCTACTTCCCCTCCCCTGGGGCTGTTTCCACTTCCCCGTTAGCTTGCTACTGTTCTACACTTGCAGGAACATGGTGTGTCTTGACCAGATTTTTGTAAGGCTGAGGAGGAAGTCTGAGTGCTAACTGACCTCTTTTGAGCAAAGTGAGAGTTCTCATTGGACCACACATGCTTTCTGGCTGGTTAGCTTTTCCTGCTGGATGCTATATTTGCAAATAGCAACACACCCTAATTCCTCGTAGTGAAAGGTCAGGCTAGCTTTTGTTCTTAGCTGATGGATGCAGGCTCTTGGCATTCCAACTGAGTTTTAAATGCAAATTGGCCTGAGTCTCATTGTATTCCAGCAGCGGCTTCCCAGGTTCTGGTGCCTGATGGAGCTGCCTCTTTAGAAGTCAGATCCCTGGTAAGTGTCTCACGGGTGTCTCTTGTCTCCGTCACTGCTGATTATAGAGAGACTTGCAAGGAGGGAAGGGCTTTCTGATTATCAGTGGTGGCTAATGACTTGCTGACAGCATGCACTGATGTTACTGGATGTTTAGAGACTATTGGAGGGAACCTTTGTGGGAGAGAAGATGAGGGACTCTAGCTGAAGTCTGGAGATGGCAGACCTGGGTGAATGACTAGGTGCCACTTCCCACCCCGAGGGTCAGTTGTCAAGTGTGGGGTTGGCAGAGTGTGTGACTAAAAGCTCTCAAGTGTGGGGAACTTGGGGCTCTTCTGAGCTTCAATGGCTGGTGGCACCTGAAAGATGGAAGGCCACAGCCCCAAGGCCCTGCTCAACTAGGGATCGGAGGGGAAGCTTGTAGCCATTCCCTGTTTTCCACTGTGGCCCCAGGCTGCTGGCTGACCCCTCCTCCTGGAGTATATGTCATGTCCTGAAGGCATGGCAAGAGCAGCCTTCCCACCTACAGAACAAGGCCTGCCTGTATCTTGGTGGCCTGGTCTGCATTTAGTCCTCAGATGTCTACAGGGATTGCATGACCACACTGCGCCTTGGTTTCTCTGTGTGCAGCTGCTATAAAACAGTAGGGAGAGGAAGCACCTAAGGAAAATGAAGTTTTAGAGTGGACCTGAGTTCTCATGCCGATTGCGCTGCTAGAACTCAGTCCCTGTCCTGTGGCGAAAGTGGCGATGGTTGTCCCCCTGTTTTAGGGTGGGTGTGAGGGTTGAATTCCAGTGGTACTAAGGGACACAGCCTCATGAATCATAGCACCTCACCTCACTTGTGCTAACACGTTCTTTTTTCATGCGGATATCTGATGTAGGTGTTCATCTTTATCAAAGGAGAGGCTAGGCAGTCCAGGAATCCATGTCCCACTGCAGTGGCAGG